AACCCTTCTTGTAATGATGCACTGAAGATCCACTCCAGGCATCAACGCAAGCTTTCACCAGCAGATTTTCATAGCCAAGAGAGGCAAGGGTTTGAGGATTCAAGTGCCATCCAAGTATTCTGTCCACATCCTCAGGCAAAGCAAGCTGAAAAGGACCCATAAAAACAGAATCAGAAGGAGCCTCAGGATGGAATAGGCAGCCAAGGTAGGGGTCTCAAGACAAGTTCAGAGATTGTTTTGAGGCAAGATTCAGAGTTGTTTTCCCCAGTCATCACCTGGACTGCCTTGTATTTGGAACTTCCAAGTTGCCTCTAAGGGCAGCCCCATAAACAGCACATTGCCGTAGTCCAATCTAGCTGCTCCAATATTACACAGCAATATGGCTAGGTTGGAAAGGTCAGTGTAGGAGGAATTCCCCCCCCCCCAGCAAGAGGCAGTCGAACTAAGACAGCAAAACACCTGTTCCAACAGCAAGACTGAGTCCAATGGTATCTCCAGGCTCTTTATGTGACCTGCCAGAAATAAACTCCACCCATCAGTCCTTTCCAGGCCATCAGAACTCTCACTTTTGTCTTGTCTGAGGCGGCCAAGCTGAAATTAAATCGATCCACTTGACCAGGGCTTCAAGATAGCAGCAGCAACAGGATTTGGGGACAGACAAAGAAGTATAGCTACTGATGACCACCAACTACAAAGCTATGGACCATCTCAACAGCCTATTCAAAGTTTTTTAAATTATTATTTTTGTAATCTGCCTTGAGTCTAAGTGAGAAAGGAGAGCTATAAATGGGGTTGTGGGAGGGCAGTGCCCCAGGAGAAAAAAATTTTAAAGGAAAAAATAAGACCTCATCTACTTACAAGAATTTCTGACAACCGAGTTCCTGGAGATTCCTAGAGCTGTCAGGAAGTGACAAAGGTAGCACTAGGAGTTGTCAGAACGCCATGGTAATTTTACTATAGAGTTTCTGGCAATTCCTAGAGTTACCCTTGTCACTTCCAGGTAGCTCTGGGAATCGCCAGGAACTTTATGGTCAGAACTCCCAGTAAGTAAAGGTAAAGGTAAAGGTTCCCTTGCTCGAAAGCCAGTCGAGTCCGACTCTAGGGTTGCGGTTCTCATCTCCGTTTCAAAGCCGAAGAGCCAGCGCTGTCTGAAGACGTTTTCTGTGGTCATGTGCACGGAACGCTGTTACCTTCCCACCGAAGTGGTACCTATTTATCTACTTGTAATTTCTTGCTTTCGAACTGCTAGGTTGGCAGGAGCTGGAACTAGAGATGGGAGCTCACTCCGTCATGCGGCAACTCGGGTCTCGAACTGCTGAACTACTGACCTTCCACAGCCTGCAGTTCAGCATCTTAACCACTTATTCTTTTCAATTTTTCTCCCCAGGATGATTGCCCTTGCCCCTTCGGCCCCAGTTTCCACCCGCGGATCAAGTGGCAAAGGCCTCAAGAACCTGGAGGTCTCCTCCCAGAAGCAGGCAAATGAGAACCCAAGCTATAAAAGAAGAATAAGGTGGTGATACTAATCAGGATGATGCAGGGTGCATTTTCTCCTGTATGCCTTGCCCCAGGATATGAAATCTACGCACGGGGCTTCTAGGTAGGTAGGTTGCCGTCTGCTAGGAGTAGGACCCTCTCCGTCCAAGAATTACAACATGTGCTTCCCTAGGAAGCCCATGCAGTTTCTTCCTTGGCCTCAGTGGAGGCGAGAGAAGGTATTCTTTGTTTGACAAACATTTGGGAATTAGATGGAGATTTTTAAAAAATTGTATAAGACATCATTATTGTTTCATACTGTCTCGATTGACTTTATTTTATATCTCCTAATTTCACTTATCTTTCTTTCTTCGTCCCAATTTTAAATTATGTTCCAGCCATCTTTTTGAACATTTTTATTAGTTGAAAAGCAACCTGTGTGTGTGAAGCACCATCAAGGCCCTTCCTGCCCCCCGTAGTTTGCCTCCGTCTCCGAGCGCATCCTATTCTTCCGTTCTGCATTCCCTCCCGCTGTCACTTTCGCTTTGTTTTGGGGCTTTCTCTTGTTTCTGCATTTGTTTTACAGGAATCTGCATTCAGGCTGCTCCCAGCACACTGTTGCCCTGCAGCTACCAAAACTCCTTTTGCTGCAATTCTTTGTTCTCATCCGCTTTAAAATCGTTAATCCTCTCTAAAGTAGAATTGTTTCTGCGGGGATGTCAGTGCTGCCCACTGCCCCCCCCATTTCTGCCTCTCTCCCTTTAGGGCTGATGCTCCCTCCCTGTTCTGTTTCTTTCCCTCCTTCTCCAAGTGTCCTCCCACTCAGGCAAACTTTTAGAAAGCCAGAGAGAGCATAAGAAGGAATCAGTAAATATAAAGGACTAGGGGATTCCCTGTTCCCAAATGTGTCAGTCTTGCATGTGTGGGTCTGAATTTCCCCCTCCCTCCCCCCTTTTTTGCAGAATCATGGAGGGAGGGAGGGAGGGAGGGAGGGGTTGTCAGCCAGTCAGGTCAAAAAATTCAGGTTTTGCTTGTAGATGCAGAGTGCATACAGAATACACCAATAAATAAACCGGAGGGGGGGAAACCAGTGCAGCGGGAATGCGTGTGACCGCGAAGTCAACCTTTAAGGCATGACTCCTCGGATTCTCCGGAGCTAGCTGTCAGTGCAGAAGGGGCCCCAGTCGCAGCAGACTTATGCCAAACCTGTAGGCTTTTCCAGGTAAGAGATGAACAGAGGCTGTTTGCCGTCGCCTGCCTCTTTGTAGCAACTCTGGGCCTCCTTGATGGTCTCCCATCCAAGTAATAACCGGGGCTGACCCTACACCAGAGGTGTCGAACTCATTTGTTACGAGGGCCAGATTTGACATAAATGTCACTTTG